TGCTCTAAGTCACAGGTATTGCAAACACCATGAACCGCATCTATAAAAAGCTACGGGGCAGCCTCTAACGTCAGTTCAGCCTCAACCAGCATAAGACTGTGGTTACCAAGAGCTCTGGTGCAACCATGGCCACATGGGAGCTCTTCTTACCCACCCTCAAGAATCGAGGGGTAAGGTTTCCCTTGCCCAGAGCTCCATCGTGAGCTACGGAAATATATATGGAATAGTTGGGTGCAAAGCTGGCAAAGCGAGGGGCAGGACGCGGGATAAGGACAGAGCATCGGCACTCTTCCGTCACCCACTCGCCTCACTGGTTCTCCGATAACCATGGCCCAGGTCCCAATCCTCATCAGCGGTCCCCACATTCAAATGGCCTTTTGCTGAACACTTTCCCACCCATTTTCTTACCTGGCCTCACAATGACCCTGGGAAGCAGGTATCATTGCCACTCGTTGGCCAGGGGGGCGGAGACTCAAGAGAGGTGCCAACATCGCAGTGAGTCCGGAACCTGGTCACCTGACAGAAAACCCATGGCCTTTTCAGCGTTTTACCCCCAACTGTTGGTGAGGTAACGCAAAACCAAGAAAGAAAGACTATGCATTTCGAATTCCATTGCTTTCTCTTTTTTTGCAGTGGAATTTTTACTGGGCAACTGAAACTTTGAAATAACTGACTGTTATAGTAACACCAGATATTGGAAAATGAGTTCAGTTGGATTTAAGGTAACCAAAGTAAAGATACTGGAGAGAACGCGTCATGAACAGTGACATGTAAAAAGTAATAATAATAAATTAAGTGGGGGGAGGGGTGCCCTAATTATTTACTTAGCATTCACCTCTGTCCTGAAACACCCCACCTCCACACCCGGCCCCTGCTTAATAAACATAATTTGGTTGATGTCCCTTGAACTGCATAATCTGTTCCACCAAAAAAAACCCAAAACTCATAGTTTGTCTCCGAGTCACTTCTAAGTCCCTAACTCCCAGGTTACATTCAGTCTATGGAAAACATCTGTGGCAAAGTAAATCATCCTACTCTGAAAAATACCAGAGTGTATTTTTTTTTCTCTAAGTGTGTTTTGAAGTCCTGGTTGGAAAATTAGTGAAAATTGTAAATCTGTTTGCAAATCTGGTCATGTCTAACTCTGAGATTAGGGCAGAGATTCCAATTTAAAAGTAAAACCGTGACAACCCCAGTTAAGCGTGTCCTCAGGCACTGCCAGCAGGGCCTTCAGTCACCCCACAGGCAGTGGATTTATTACAGGGACCCGACACGTCCCCCATCAGACACCCCTGGAGTATTTACTTGAGACAGCAGGGTTCAGTCTGCACTTCCTCTGCAGACCAATATATTATTATAAATTGAGCTAAACTGTTTCCTTTTCATAAGTGCTATGAAGTTCAGATTTCAGATATCAGCGCTGGGCTGTGGTCCTTCCACAGAGCTCCTTAGAGTACTTGGATTTTCCAAAGTCAAGAGAAGAGGGGGCATTCGACTATGGTTGCTTTCATTTTTGTTTTGTTTTGTTTAAGAGGAGACAGAAAAAAATTCATTCTAGAAATCCAATATGACATCTTAATAAGAAAACATATTCTGAATGCAAACCGTGGGCACATCGTGCCATGCTTGGCCCAGATTAGTACCAGCTGTTTCACCTCTATCTGAAGGCAGGAGTTGGGAAACCAGGAACAGATATTATGTCTTAGATATTAGCACCTATAAAATAGTAACACTCATTTAGAAGGAGTATTATCGCCTACAATAGCTAAAGGGACACAATGTGTATTTGAAAATGTATACACACTATAACAAAATATTCAAAATATAATTCAAAATATAAAATGATATTCAAAAGGACAATGTAATTATTTAATATTTTCATTATTAATCTATTTCAGAGGCAAGAATAAAAACTTAACTTTAAAAAGAAATGGAAAAGAAGCAAATGAATCGTAGTCATAGTCCTCTTTTTTCCCTTCCTGAACAATTTAGTCCTAAGGCCTGTAAGTGAGGCAGAGGCATCGATGCTGAGGGAGGGAGAGGGGGTGCAGCAGCCCACAGCAGGGCTCAGAGCCCGAGGGGGTGAGGAGGCATGGCCTGACGTGGGGTGGCAGAGCCCCAGTGGGATAAAATGACAAGTTCCAATCCATGCGTCTTACCAGCTGTGTAACCATGTAAGTAACTACATCAGCCTAACCTTAATCTTTTCTTTTGCAACATAGCTAATATTACTTTTAGGGTTATTTAGAAGATTAAAGAATGCTTGACTTGTTGTTAGTCCCCAATAAATATGGTTGTTATCCATATACTATATGTATAGAAGAAAAACTGAAAATATACCGAAACAGGCATGAAGCTGATTTTTGTATTCATTCATTTCATGCTTTTCAGTTTCTTTTCTCTACAGTGAGAATACATTACTTTTCAATCAGAAAAGAACACATGAGATGTTAATAAAAAAATGAAAGGTTGCCTGAACTTTTACATGTATTTACTACTTTTATATACAGAAAATTAACAAAGCAATCAAAGATGGCCCCCATCTCATTTCCTTTAAAGATTCAAATTGCTAATAGAAACTCCTGAACAAAGTCTCCAAAGGAAAGTGGTTTAAGTGGCTGAAATGAACACCCATTGATCCTCAAGGTAAATATCCATATCTGGGCGGCACATTAAAAAATGAAATAATATCTGTTTTACCTACAAATGATACTCGACAATGGGGCAGAGCCTTCAGAACACAAGCTTCGCTCCCAAGGGCAGAGGCAGAGGAAGACATGAACTTAACCTAAAAACAGTCCCACACAGAGATTTCAGTGCATAGGGATCAAGTATAATCGTTCCCTTAGGGGGTAAAAAACTATGTACCCAGGTTCCTCAACTTACAACGGGGTTACATCACAATAAACTGATCCTAAGTTGAAAATGTGCTTAATAAACGAACCTACCGAACATCATAGCTTAGCCTAGCCTACCACAAACGTGCTCAGAACACTTAGGTTATCCTACAGGTGGGCACAATATCTCACAAAATGAACACACTGCAGAGTATTGGTTGGTTACCCTTGGGTCACGTGGGGGACTGGGAGGCGTGGCTTGCTGCCGCTGTCCAGCAGCCCCAGAGCGCGTCACCGCACATTGCTGGCCCGGGAAAAGATCGAAATCCAAAATTCCAGGTACGAGTTCTACTGAATGAATGTGCACCACTTTTGCACCATCATAAAGTCAAAAAATTGTATAAGTCGAACAATCCTAAGTCGGGACCATCTGTATATAGAACCTGAACCCCATTCTGGTCCCTGTTCTGCCTCATGCTGAGTGACCTTAGGCAATTACTTAAGAAAATGACAATCTACACATGCCCTGGGGCTCAAAGGCTGCTTGGAGACTGGATGAGATGGCTTCTGTGAACGTGATGTGCAAACTGTAAGGCCACGTGCAGATGGAAGGCACGAGATTTGCTTCCTTCCATCCTGTTCAACAAATGCAGGAATCAGCCCATGAGAAGAATTTAAGCGATAAAGCGACATGATATTGAGTACCGGGGAGTCACACTGTGAGCAAGTCATTCCCTATAAAATGACCTTCTGACCTTCCTGTTGACAAGGAGGAAGTCTCCGAGAGGTACCACTATACGGTTAACACCTCTCTAGCAGTTACTAAGCTCCCCTTTTAAGAAAAATAGAACAGGACTCAGACGGAGGACCTTCAGGAAAAAAAAAAAAAAAGGTAGCAGGCACTTACTGTTTTACTTTCTATATTTATAAAACTCTTCTAATTATGCCAAGCAGTACTGGTTTTCCCTTTAAAATAGTAATACAAAATCTCCTACTAAAATGAATGCATTTCAGGAAAAGGGAGAAGGTGAGTTTATTTAGAGAGAAATGTTATATAAGTGACAGTAAGGTAGCACAGATATGGTAAGGACCTCGGAGCTGATGTGCGAATGAGTGAAATTTGGAAAGTGCTTAATGAGGTATTGGCCGAAAGAGCTGTTGCAAACTGTGAATTCCCAGAAGGCAGGGGCCGAGTTTTCTCCATCCCCAAAGCCTCCTCCAGAACCTTACGCAGCATACAGAACATGTACTACAAATACTCAATTAATTGAGAAATAATTCTTGTAATAAATACTGGCTTTGAGTCATGGTGCTTCCCAGCTCTAAAACCAACACATGAGTAGATCCCCCAGGCAGGTAAGAGTGAGACAAACCCTGCATAACCAGGAGCTACAGCCAAGGAGACAGTAAATCCTGAGATGCCTAATGAGTAAAAAAGGATATTGTTGGCACACTCGCTGTGTAGAAGTAGGAAAATCTAAATACACAACCAAAAACTTAGAGCAAATAAGGAAAAAGAAAGCCCCACAAATTCCACAGCTTCGGCTGGCTTAACCACAGCTGAAATATTACTTCCCAAAGAACTACTGATAAATGACAAGTGGAGAGAAAGGCCCTGTTATCAGGTCAGCTGCTCTTGAGAAGAAACTAAATTCAAAATGGGAAAAGAAAGAAAAACCTTCTCAGTGAGAACTTATACCAACAGGAAAATATTTTTAAAACTTCACACTGGGCCGGCCGAGTGGCTCAGTTGGTTAAGAGCTCGCTCAAGAGTTTGAGCTCTGAGCAACAGCGGTTCGAGTCCAGCCTGAACTGAGCAGCCGCTGAGTTGCCAACAGGTAGCAGGATGCCTCAGCTAAAAAAAAAAAAAACTTCACACTGATAAGTTGATTTAGATGACTCAGTAGCTCCGATGAGGGCTCCTGAAAATTGTTTAGCACATTTAGGGAACTCCGTAAACACTGAGAATGAAAAGAAGAACAACTTTGAAAAATTAGCATTATCTCAAAAATAAACAAAAAAAACAAAACTAGTTACACGTAGATGTTCCACTATCATTATAAAATACTTGAAACGTATTTCAAAAGATACATTCAAAATAGGTACCCAATAATCTAAAACTTAGACAACAGAGCATCAGCATAGTTAGATCCCGCCAATTACCAAGCATGAAATAGCAGTCTCCCTGGTGAAGGGGTATTGCCAAGCCAGGAGTCTCTATGTCCCATGAGATCTTGAAACCGACGTGCCAGATGTCAGGATCCCTGCCTTCGAGTTGAGGATCCTCCTCACTTTCCTCCTCGTCCTCGGGGCCTGTCAAAAGAGAAGACAATGACCAAAAAGAAAGTGTTTCATCTCAAGTTCTGACTTTTATAACAGTTATCATAGGAATAACTCAGGTTTTAATAAAATATCCTCCTTTATATCATATTTTAAAAACACACACATTCTTTAGAATATTTTTAACATATCCTTATGTTTTAATCAAAACATCTTAAAATGGTGAGGAAATAACCACAGACACCAAGGAAAATAATATTATTTTGTTCAATTCAATGCAACTAAATTAGAAAATCTAGATTAAATGGTTAGTGTTTAGGGATATATTAATTACCAAAAGAGACACCAGAAGACAAAGAAAAGCTAAACAAGACACAGAAGAGCAAGTTGTCACATTTCCCAGGCCTACAGAGTTTCAAAGGAGAATGCTACCACACAATTAAGGAACAGGTGATTTCAATATACTTTAAATTAAGAGCATAGGAAAAGAAAAGTTTCCAAATTCTTTTCATGAAGATAGAATAACATGTATCAAAATCCAAAGAGAAAACACAAGCAGAGTTGCAAACACACAAATGCGCACGCAGTCACACATCTGAAAATCAGTGCAAAAGTCCTAAATACAACATGAGGAAATAGAATCCAAATCCAGCAGCATATTGAAAGAATAACCGTCCACGACTAAGTAGAAATTATTCCAGAAATACAAGGATAGTTCAATATGCAGAAACTTAAAATTAATCACATTCATAGATTTAAAAAAAAATCATGAGTCCAGGGATACATAAAAGAATTCAATAAATACATCTTTTCATGATAAAAACCTCCATAAGGTAGAAACAAGTGGCTAGCATGTTCCTTAAGATGATAAAATATTGATCTATCTCAACCCCAACCCCAGCATCATATTGTAACAGGAAAACATCAGAAACGTTCCTGAAGTTAAGAATTAGAAAACAATGCCCTTTATCATCACAATGACTCATCATTATTCTGAAAAGAATGGCTAACACAATGGTGCCCTCTGGAGTTGCATAACAGAGGAGCTCCAAGTAGACACAAAAAGAGGTAAAAGGTTTTTTAATAAGAAAAAAAAATTCTTTTGCAAATATGATTATTTATCTGCAAATGAACCAGGAAAAAGATATCTCAAGCAATAGGCAAATTCAGAAAATGCTAGCTACAAAAGTGTGCTCATAAAAACATCTAGTAAGGGGCCGGCCGAGTGGCTCAGTTGGTTAAAAGCTCGCTCAAGAGTTTGAGCTCTGAGCAACAGCGGTTCGATTCCCAGCCCAAGCTGAGCAGCCGCTGAGCTGCCAACAGGTGGCAGGATGGCTCAGCTTAAAAAAAAAAAACAACACATCTAGTAAGATTCTTACATGTGCATTCTCTACATGAAGAAAAACTTTAAAATATTAATGAAGAACACAAAAGAATATTTAAACAAATGTAATGACATATTAAGTTCCTGGGAAATAAGGCTAAATATCATGGAAATGTCACTTCTCCCTAAATTCATCTATGAATGTGATACAAACACAATAAAAATCCACACAAGACCGATTTAGGTGAATGGGGTTGGTAACTAGGCAAGTTGATTGTCCAATTCACATGAAAACATAAACAAGCAAGCATAGCCAGGAATTTATTTTTTTAATATATAAAGAGCTCCTACACATCAATAAGATAAACATCAATAATCAAATAGAAAAATGGGCAAGTGTTATGAAGGCAAAACACATAAAAGGTAATGAAATGAGTTCATAAACATATAAAAAAATGTTCAAACTTAGTCATCTAAGAGAAGTTCAAATTAAAGCCACAATAGATATTTTTCACCTATCAGATCAGAAAAGATCAAACACTTTGATAAAATACGGTGTTAGCAAAATGGCACACTCCACCTCTGTAGAGGACAATTTGGCACTACCTATCAGAATTACAAATACAGGGCCGGCCGAGTGGCGCGATGGTTAAGAACTCGCTTGGGATGCCAGAGGGCCCCGGTTCGGATCCCACATATGAGGGCCAGTGACACT